ACAATTTCACCAGTTGTAGTCTTCGGGGTGCTGAGTCGAATGGTCGTGGTCCGAGGAAGCTGAGACACTCCCTTCCTACTTGAATCCCAATCGAACTCGCGCACTCCCACCGAAACTGGGTGACTGCGCCCTACTAGATGGGGATTTGTATGCAAAATGTCACTAAAAGCGCCATTTCGTTCTTATAAAAGCACGGATGACCGCGATTGGCCCATATGTTGTAGTCTTTTGGACGCTGAGTCGACTGGTTTTGGTCCAAAAAGGCTGCGATGCAGCGTTCCTCCTTTATTCCCAATCGAACATGGTTGAACAAGCGGTCACGTGCTCCTGGGTGCCCAAATCACCTGGTCACCACGCCAGCAGGCGACAACTTTCACACCAAGGTTCAACTCGAGTGACAGGACTGCACCCAATAAAGGTCAAACAGGCTAGTAAGTTGTACCCTGCAGGCACGGTGACCAGGTGACTGGTGTACGCAGGAGCACGTGACCGCTTGTTCAACCATGTAAGATTGGGAATAAAGGAGGAACGCTGCATCGCAGCCTTTTCGGACCAAAACCAATCGACTCAGCGTCCAAAAGACTACAACATATGGGCCAAATCGCGGTCATCTGTGCTTTTATAAGAACAAAATGGCGCCTTTAGTGACATTTTGCATACAAATCCCCATCTAGTAGGGCGCAGTCACCCAGTTTCGGTGGAAGCGCGCGAGTTCGATGGGGATTCAAGTAGGAAGGGAGTGTCTCAGCTTCCTCGGACCACGACCATTCGACTCAGCACCCCGAAGACTACAACTGGTGAAATTTTGATTTTTGCCTTAACTAACGTGTTACTTCCCCTTTAACGATCGAGTGATCGATTATAATCGTTAGCAAATAGTGTCATAATTCTGTGCAAACATTACTCTGTTTCCAAAAACTATGCCTTCATAATGCCAACAAATCTGCATTAGTGAAAGGGTAGATCTGAAACATGGCAGTTTCGAAGTCAATTTAACCTCAGAACATGAACCATACCCCTGGCAACTGCATACGCTCAGCGGAAACTGATTCAAACTTCACAAAACGAGGGTTTACAAAACTTTCTGGACACAAATTTAAAAAACGCAAAATAATCGTAATCGGTAATCTAAACGATTGCTCGATCGTTAGAGTTATCAAACGAGTACTCGATTATTCGGTATGATCGTTTCAGCCCTAATATACTTTCACACAAAACAAGCTCGATGCAGCACCAATCACGGCAGGGGAACCCGACCCTCCACCATCGCCAACTCACGAAGCATGTGAACTGGACGGTGACGGGCCGACCGAGCACCCCTGACACACAACACAGCTCGGTGATTCTGTCTGAAAGATGACCACCTACATAAGTCATTGTAAGTCGACACACAAGCATGTGCACCCCTCCCCCTCCCCCCCCCCACACACATACGGGCGCGCATGCACGGACATACACACATTATTGCACACAGAAACACATGCACACCCACCCACACCCATGAATACCGTACACACACACACACCTTCCTTCCTTCTTCCACTGCCATGACTGGCTATGTGGCCCCATACGGGGCACACCAGGAGACGTGTTGTCCACCGGGCGGGGAACGCCATACTCAGCGCGCCCGGGCCACGCGAACAGCGTTACACTTGTGCCTCGCAGTATCTTGTGGCCGACGAAAACCGCGCGCGCAAGTGCCACAGATGAGGGGCTTCGCCACAGGCCCCATGCGGGACTGGGCAATAGCGTTGACAGCCTCACGGCAGGTGACCCGCCATCCCTGTCGATCTTGGGCGATGTCACCAAGCTGCTCCAGAGGAACGCCAACAGCCATCAAGTTGCACTTCGCGGAGTCCTTCCAGCGCTTACGGGGTCCATGCGGTGGACGTTTGGAGGGCAACGCGCCGTACAGCAGCTGACGAGGGATCCGATCCTGCATGCGGGACACGTGGCCAAGCCATCTAAGTCGGCGGACTCTGACTTTATCCGCGATCTCCTCCATATCGCCCCACATCCTGCGAACCTGGAGAGAGGAGATGTGCTCCTCGATCTGCCGGCCACGATTTATCTTCAGGATGGAGCACGCGCACTGCAGGTGAAAGGACTCCAGGCGACGGAGATCACGCTGCCTGACGGTCCAACTCTCAGATCCATAAAGAAGGACTGCCAGGACAGTCACTCCATACACAATGCGCTTGATGGCAATGCTGACGACACACACACACACACACACACACACACACACACACACACACACACACACACACGCACAGACACACACACAGACACACACACACACACACACACACAGACACACACACACACACACACAGTCGGCAACCAGGACTCTTTTCTTGGCGATGACTGTGACGTTGACCACCGACCATGTCAGTCGACGTCCGTTGTGCCATGTTCCCCTTCTGCCGGCTGAGTTCCGTTCCGGTTTCTGTCCGCCAGCACAGTAATTAATTATTTTAGTAAACGGCTTTCAAACGGTAAACTATCATAGCCTTCAGTTCAGGACTTCTCCGCCTCGCTCAACACATAATCGCTTTCTTTCGGATTCGTCTACGCACCGTGACAGAATAGTCACCGTACTCCCCCGTACGGCCATGGTTTCAATCGTTGCACCGTTTTCTTCATCGGTCATTGCTACTTCGAGGCTAGCCTCACGCTGACCAGCGCCCTTGAAAGGCTAGGTCAGTGCGCTCCGCACATCCGCTTAGAAGATTATTGATTTTCTACTGAAAAGAGTTGATGTTACTCATCACCCTTAGGCCTACACAACTAATGTCTTGCTCTTCGTGAATATTGAAAATATTTCCTTGCAGGGTTCAATGCTATCCGTCCGCCGGATGTCTTGGAAGAAGAACGACACAATGACCCTCTGGCTCTGAGTCTGAGTGCGGCAATTACCGAATAGTGCACACGGTGACAAGCAGGCCATATGGAGGAGGCTTTTCCAACAAGCTAGTGCAAATAGTAGCGCTAACAAACTCCAAGCACTTGTCTTTGCACGTTGGTTGCTGTAGATACCTGCGCCAACTAACTTTCAGGAGCAGTTTGGGACAAAACTTCTGTTCTCCCACTTTTGTGGGTGGTGTCTGCTGTGTTGATCAGTACTCGTGAGTGCATCTCCGCGACGGCAGCCTTTTTAGTACTGTAAAGCACGCGGCGCCTCACGAACGGCGGCGCCGTCCGCCTCCATCACAAGTCATGTAACAATCGTCATGTATCATAGTATTAGTATGACACACGCCTGCCCACACACGCTGTAGTGTAGGCTGCAAAGTTCTGGCACAGAGCTCTCCTTCTCACCACCACCACCATCAGTTCGCGCCTGGCGCCTCGTCGATGCATGGTTGGCGGTATCCGACATAGCAGGCTGGTAGATCTACATCAAGTAGCGCATGGCACATAGAAGATGACATAGCAACGACATAGCTCGATTGCGACGTAGAATCTACGTTTCGTCCCCGCTGGACTCATCAGGCAATCTTCTTCTTGGATGTCTTCATACGGAGCTTGACTCGGAAGAATATGAAGTTGAAGACGCCACTGCAACTTCGTAGCTTAGAGAGCGTGTGTGGGCGGGACATTTTTGAAATTAGGGTGCGAAATCATGTACAGCAAAACCTGTCAAGGCGACCACTCGGATAAGGCGACCACCTGCCCTAGAAGACCACTGAAACCAGGACCAAGGAATGGTATTTCCAGCCAAATGACCCTGGATAAGGAGACCCCCTGGTAACAGAGACCAGGTTTTGAAGGTGCCTTGAGCGGTCGTCTTAGACAGGTTTCACTGTATTCTGGACGGTTTTTGTGTTAAAAACAATGGTCCGGCCAAAGCGCTTTAACTTTGGCACCGCAACACGTTTGGTATTCGTCCTGTCCTGTCCGGAGTACATGTATATTGTATGACAATGACCTGCAGTGAAACCTGTCTAAGACGACCGCTCAAGGGACCTTCAAAACCGGGTCTCTGTTACCAGGTGGTCTCCTTATCCAGGGGCATTTGGCTGGAAATACCATTCCTTGGTCCTGGTTTCAGTGGTCTTCTAGGGCAGGTGGTCGCCTTATCCGAGTGGTCGCCTTGACAGGTTTTGCTGCACATTGTAGCCGGTTCAACGCCGGTCTCTGTTCTCTTCCGCCTTTCAGCGGTGGTATTGCGCCATCCTTGTGGTGTTGAGCACTCTACTGGGAATTATCGCTACTGTGTAAAAGTAAAGTAAAGTTTGCACGTCCGCGTTACCATCGGCTATACAATTGCGCTGAGAAACACACTGACCAGCTTAGGAAGTTTTGCATGTGCCAGGCCGCCACCATGCCTGTGATACCAGGGTGGGAGATGCAGCTCCTAACGGCGAGGGTGAGGTGGTAAGTCTCACCACCAATGCCCGACAAGGGGGCGAACCTCGTTAGCTGCGCATCCATGTTACCCTCACTCCAAGTAGTGAGTACTGACCGTGGGTGTCGGCGCAGTTCCCTGCATGTAAAGTGGGTCACGCATGCATCACCGCATTTGTTAGCACAGAGTCAGTACACACTCCCTGCTCCCAGCGCGGGTCTCGAACTCGGGACCTTGTGATTCGCAGGCAAGCCCACAACCACTCGGCCAAAGCGCTGGTCTTATTGCTATCGCTACTGTGTGTATTTTTAAATACACACAAAACATCTATCCAGGACCTGACAGGTAATCGTCTGTGGGGATACTGTTCACTATCGAGTCGTAAAATGACGACTCCCTGCTGTTTACTCCGGTTTCTAATACCCACATGTACAATACACCTCCGAAGATCATGCGGCAATATACCGGTATACGTGGATTCTGGAAACTGCGGTTGCTTGATACGCGCTCAGCAGAGGTACTGTGCCTGCTACTACTGGATAGAGCCTTTCAAGGAATCCTCGGAGATTTCAATCTTGTTGCTGTAGGAACAGCCGGTGCGGAGAGCCTGATGACCAAGGCGGCCGAATCATGATGGTACATGCGTGCATGAAACATGACGGTCACAATGACCATTCGCAAAATTAATTTTTTTAATACGTACACGTACATGTAGTAGCAAATATCACAAAGTTTTAATATCGTTGTCAAAAAAACTTTGTACAGTTGTGGTGGAAATCAATGCCACAGGAGTTCATTGACATAAACTAGTATAACTTCGTTGTCCACATATGTATCATATCCGGTGTGAAGTCTATCGAAATAATCATGACTCAAAACTGTACCAACAAAGGCAAATCATATATTCAGCCTGTCATGCTTCAATTTTCATGTTCGAAAGTAGTCTCGACTTTTGTCTCTCCCATTTTGATACAATTACAAACGCTTGACCGCAGGTGTCCTGCAAATGTAGCACAAATTCAAGCAGGCACATGCCCGTGCACATGAAAACATGCGCACACACACACACACACACACACACACACGCACGCACGCACGCACGCACACACACACATACACACACACACATACACACACATGCACACACCAGGGTATTAGTATCAGGGTTCCCACGCCGTCAGCCCCGTATGTCCATCGAGTTATGAAGCCAAGACCTCTCTGGTCCGCTGAGCTTGATGGGCCCAACCGCCACACTCCTTTATTCACTTTAGTGTCCACGGAATGCCACGGCATGCATGTCCCATTTTGCATGACCTGTTTGGAAAAAGAACATCTGGTCACTTGTGACCCGTTTGGGAATACCGTATTATCTCTAATATAAGCACGGTCCTTTATTTTTTCAATGTACCTCCGCCCCGTGCTATTATTGGAGACGTTCCTTTATTGGAGACTGTTCCATTATTATTTCAACCTCATTTCAGAGGCTTGTTGCCATGCCAAATTCATGTCAGACACACACAATAATGACCCGGGGTGAGGGTGGTTTGAAATAATAAGAGCACAGTCTCTAATAGTAGCGCGGGTCACAATTGGAGTATGCAACAAGTATACTGACTGCATACGAGAGAGCTTGGAAGCTCAGGGCCCTACGCTATGCTTTTTTGCTTGCTCATCATGCATGTAACGTGTCAAAGCTGTGTGGACCCTAGCTAGCGCCAAACGATACTGAAGTACTAGTAACATCTGTTGCATAGCTACGGGATTAATATTCGGTGTTTATTTTTTCAAACTCGCATGTTGAGCCATAAATAAATGTAGAAAAAAAAAGGACATAAGACAGACCCAAGTTGGGTGGTGTGCTGCTTTGCTGCTTCGAATTGTAGTTAGACCGCTTTGTCAAATATCGTACTGGTCTCGTCATCGTCCAGTAACAATCGACATTCTTTGTTCCGTTGGGACTGTAGCTTTTGCGGCTCGTTTTCGTTGCGCTTGCCTTCCCCTCTTTGGTCTTTCCATAACCTTGAACCTTCCAAGTTGGAAGGCTGTCGGTTAGCGCTACGGAGATGTGTTGAAGCTAGGTGTCAGGACGTCAAATGTCTCAGTACTCTTGTCAGTTGTGTGCCTAGTTATTGCACTTTCTGACTGTATATAGTATCCAGTTACAGTGATGGAGAGTTACTCTTAACTCGTATCCTCATGTCCTTTTCCTTTCTATGTTTATTTATTATTATTATTTTTTTGTGTCACGCCTGGCGTTATCCCGTACTGTACCATCAAAGACAGCTGGCCACAAACAGCTGGCCACAATATTCGCGTTTGTTTGTGCCATCGGCATGCCTGGCGC